CGCTACTAGTAGCAAGAAACTACGAACGGGGCGCTCCTGGCCTTACTTGGAACCAGGTTCGCTACGAACGTCACAAAGGGCTGGTCTGGAGTGGTATGTTGGGGCAGCGGACGCCCTCAGGTCCTTCACCGGCACCCTCCTTGGTGCAGTACTGCCCTTCGGACTCAGCGAAGCGTCCTTCGGACTCGTGGTCAGCGTTCGGACTCGCCCGTCCTCTGGATGGAGCTTTGATTCGTTTGATTCATCAGTTTACATGAACATCTAAACCACAGGGATTCATGCTGAAAAGATACTGAAACATCCAAAACTTGGAAGGTCAGTCTCTAGATTCTGAGGATCTTTTTTGATCACTTTGTCCTCAGTCCACTTTGTCCTCAGTTGTCCGGGCATTCTCAGAGAACCCCTCCACTACCAAAAAGGTTCCACTACCTCAACCATGTATCTATTACAGTTGCGAACTCTCTTCATCCACAGAAAACAAAAGCTTCCAACGTCCTCCAACGTCCTCGTCCTTGCTCGCCCCAACAGGGGGGGCCAGCTCCCAGACCGTCGTTTCTCAGGCTACGAGATCTCCGGATGCACCTGGCAGACCTCCACGTGGTTCCTCGGATGCTTTAACCGCACGACTCATCGATCCATGGAGGGTGGCAGGGGAAAGTGATGGATCGACTCACCACCAAGCCATAGTTTTTTCCCATCAGACCCGTGGCGGGTGGTATTTTTTTTGGCATAGGTATCAAAAAAATTATTGAATAAATAAAAAATATTCGTTGTGCGATGAAATCTTCTTGGAATTCCCAGTCGTGTAGGTGGCCGGTCCTCTGGTCCATCCCCTGGTCCTCTGGTCCTTTGGTCCGCTGGTCCTCTGGTCCGCTGGTCCCCTGCAGTCCGCTGGTCCACTGGTCCGCTAGTCCCTTGGTCCTCTGGTCCTTCGTCTTTCTTTCTTTCTTTCTGTCTTTCTTTCTTTCTTTCTTTCTTTCTTTCTTTTTCGCAGCTGTTCTCCTTTCTCTTTTTTGCTTTTGCTTTTCCTTTTGTTTACGCTTGCGGTCTTAGACCTCTGAAAGCCTTGAATGAATGAATCTTCTCCTTTTGTTTGCTTTGCAGAGACGAAGCCAAACAAGGAAGCAAGCAAGCAAGGAAGCAAGCAAGCAAGCAAGCAAGCACGAGCTGCTCACCTTTGGATCTGGTGTGCTGCTGGGCGCTGCGCCCCCCCCCAAACCCCCCGCGCCACGAAATCTGCACTTCATCCCCGACACCCGCGCCTGCCACGAAATCAATATTTTAAGGTGAACTCCCCGGTGCAAAATTTTCTAACCAAGCAAATATGCCTCCTCTATCTTCTCCTCTATCTATCTATCTATCTATCTATCTATCTATCTATCGCTATCTATCTATCTATCTATCTATGTATCTATCGATCCATTTATCTTTCTATCTTTCTATCTGTCTATCTGCAGTTCAACATCCACAAAGTACTACACCTGCCACGAAATCTACACTTCAAGGTCCACAAAGTCTTGCGCCTGCCACCAAATCTGCACTCCAAGGGCCACAAAGTACTACACCTGCCACGAAATCTGCGCTTCAAGGTCCACAAAAAGTCCTGCGCCTGCCACTGGCCACCAACTCTGCACTTCAACATCCACAAAGTCCTGCACCTGCCACGAAATGTGCATTGCAAGGTCCACAAAGTACTGCACCTGCCACGAAACACTACGACTACCACTACGATACTGCTGCTATTATAGTACTGTTGCTACTCTTACTGCTACTGCTATTTGGAATATTTTTTTGAGTCAGTATTTTTTTATTGATGCGTGTAGAATATTTGTTTATTGATACGTTAAATATTTTTTTGATCTCTCACCCGACTTTTTTCACGTGAAAACTCGTGATGATTGAAAGGGAGTGTACCTTGTCAAATGTTTTGGAATATGCCTCAAGCTCGGGAGGATTGGGGGGAAAAAAATGTTTTTGATTGCTTCCCCCCCCAACCATGACACCAAAAGAGCGCCAACAGCGCCTCAGCCGCGCCTCAGCATCTGCTTCCTGTTCCAGTCGCCTCCTCGCAGCGGTCGATCCCCTTTCACTGACCGAGGTCGGTGTGCTCCAACAGCTGCGGTGCCGGCACCTCCACCCGACAGGCGCTTTTCGCGCGCGACGAAGAAGGTCCCCAGGGGCCAACAAAGCCGCTTTGGGAGGACGGGCCGTCGTGGTTTTGTGTTCAACCGGAGGAGGTGGAGGTGGAGAGGGCTGCTCCGGTCGAGGTGTGAAAGGTGAAACCGCTTCGGCTTTGACGGGTCATTTGGCCTGTGGAAGGTGTGAGGTAGTGCAGGTGAGCAAGCACAGCACCACCCAGATGATCTTACGAAAACATTGACCCCTTAAAAAGTGTTCAAATCACCCCAATAGGGTAGGCATGCATTTCAGTCCAGTGGATTGTTAGGGCAGGATTCTCGATCCTTGTGCCTTTTTGCATCCATCTTGGAAAACTGACCGGCTTAGCATGGCCATCATGTGTCAAACAATGTCAAAAGCTTTGCCAAGAAGCCGCTGGCCACTGCAGGTGTGGTGTAGCAGCGGTACGGACTCCGACTGCGGTGGCAGCAGGCAGGGAGCAATGCTCTGGCTATCTCTAGTTCATCCTGTGACACTTCTTCATATCCTATAGGTTTTACTGATACTAGGACCTTCCGACATGCTGTTGTGGCCACCAGGAACACCGAACTTGGAGGGGCCGGGTATAAATATACAGACTAGACAGATTTTTGACCTTAAATCTCCTCATGTTTATACCTTCTTGACTCTTGAACTTTGTTGTTCGTCTCCACTCCGACTAGACCTGAAGGGTCCGATGCAACGGAACCATGTGCAACCTGTCATCATCTTCCGGCCGAGCTCACCCTGAACGCTCACCATCGCTGAGACCACCGGAACTCACGTCGACATGGAACATCATGGAAGCCGTGGACCGTGGGTCGTTCGAGGCCGTTGGAGTTGCAGAGCTGTTACGAGACGGTGGGCTGTACCTGGCAGAAGGGGTTCCTTGGCGGGGCAAGCGAGCGAGTGGAGAGTGGAGAATGTCCTATGACATCACCCCAGAAAGGGCTCCTTTTCTGAGTTTGACGAGGTTTTTTCAAGGACCATCTTGGGGAGGTTTCAGGGTCGGTGGAACCAATGAGTTTCTACAAGTCATAGGAGGGGGAAACGGGTTGAAACGGCTTTTCAAGGCTCATCTCCCTGGTTGGTGGAAGCTTGCAGCGACCACGAGAGTTCCCACGAAAACACACGTTCGTCAGGATGGATCCTTGGGATGCACAGGTGAAAAATCGGCAGCTGAGCTCCCAAGCTGAGCTGCCTGCTGTAGGTGGATCCTGGCCTTCCCATCCCGGTGATGTCGAGGATGGGCAGGGTATTGATATCCCAGACACGACCTGTTTGGGACTGGCATATGTACCGATCAGTTATGGTTTGAGGCGGGTGAATCTATGTGATCATTTATGACACGACTCCTCCGGAAGAAGGGAATGCTCGAAAAACAGCCCTATATGATGTTAATTGTTGCCGAGTCCTGCAAGGGTGTCACCTTGTTTGTAGTCTTTTTGGCTACCATTAGCCTAAGGAAGCCCAATTGTTTAAACCACCCAGTCATTCGAGCTACGCACGAATCATCGCGTGAGATTCGAGCGCTAATAGAAATACCAAGCCAGCACGCATGAGGGACCAACACGGATCGCATTGGATGATATTGGATGTCTATTTTTTCTAGTTTCGATGAGCCTCCCTGGCGCAAGGGATTGAAGTCTGTCGACTGTTACATCATTCCCAGAGGTCCAACTGAACATCTCCTGTCAAAAAATACATACACTCCCAGCTGGGGGGTTATATACTGTATGTTTGTAGGGTGTTTCTAGATGGTCCAAGTACTGTAGATTCAGGCCCGGTATTTGGATGTTTCCGACTCTGCTGGACGGAACCTCTTCATCCCAAGGCACGGCAAGGCACGCAAGGCACTGCATCTCGAACGTCTCAGAAACACCGTGTGACACACCCAGATTGAGCAGACTCCCTAGGGCTCCTGGCCGCCCCCTCCTGAGGTTCGGTGGTTAGGGTGGGTGTTTTGGGGGGGTCTAACCACCTGAGGATATGGGACGTTCGGAGCCCTAGAGACTCTTGATCACTAACAATTGAAAAACCCTCTCTTGCGGCTTGTAGAGTCTTGGGTGGTGTTAAATCAAGACTCTACATGAAACGGACCATTGGATCCACCACAGGGCAACCCCCCCCCCACTGCACCTCGCTGCGGGTCCCGCAACCGCCCGGCTCCTCGTGGCTCGACTCTGTGGCTCATGCGCGAGGGAAGACGAAAGCAGGTCGATCCATGTGGATGCCCTGTGGAAGTCCCTGTGGTTCAAAAAATCAGAAAAAATGCACTTGGTTCAAAACCTTGGTTTTCCACTCTCTACATCTTCGAATTGTGCATGGTGTTAGACACGAGTTGGCGTGCATTTGCATCGAAGTGCTAGAACGAGTTTCAAGACAGTTCCATTGTGAAACGTTGAGGGGAAGCAACCCCATCTTGAGGCTGTCCCCAGCGTTGAACTTCCCCAAAGCTACCCTCTAGAACTGGTGGGTCAACATTTAACATCCTTTCACCTGATTTGGGGGTATTATCCCCACTCCAATCCTAACAGGTGGACTTAAAACCACGCTGACACCGTCGGATCAACAATCGGAGAATACCCGCAACCATCGGAGAATTCCGGACCACGAAACCCACCAGGTCTTCCAATCACCCGAAGCTTCCACCACCCGAGTGGGGTCGCGTTGTTGTTGCGTTGTCGCGCGGTCTGGGTGCGACCGCGCCAGCTCCTCTCCCGGATTTGACCCGTGCGGCGGAGCGCCCGATGGGATGCCGAAGGATCGCGCTCGGTCGCGCTCGGAGTCCTCCTACTCGTGCGCCCGATCCGGGGAGCGTTGGGCTGAGAGGTGGTGGACATCGGTGGGGGTCGATGGGCTTGGAGGGAGGGAGATGGAGATGAGCCAAGGGGAGGAGAACAACAAGGCTGTGGAGCAAGTACAACTTAGATGCTGAAGGATGGGAATGGTACTATGTGTAATTGAATTAATGGTGTGTGTTTGGTTGGAGCCCAACAGCTGTTTGGCCTCTACCCGTAAGCTTTGGGTGTGTTGATAGGGTGATGCAGTTTCAACAATTACGGGTGAAGCATGCAGTTTTGAACAGAGGGCTTGGCATGGCTGGAGTCAAAGTCTCTCTTTGGGGTCAACCAGTTGGCTGAATGGAGGTGATGGGGGTTCACGACACGGTCCCTCGTGAGTCTTGTCAGGTGGGAGCAGGTCGCTGGCTGGCGGTTGCCAAAGCTGTGGGGAATGAGTTGATGCACCCAGGTCCCTGCAGCTGTGGTTTGGTCCACCCTTCGGCCGGTCTGGTCCCTACATCTCTCCTGCGTCGAAACAACACACATCATCCATGTTCTCGCGCGGAAATGTCAAAAGCCTCCACGAATTCCAAAAGGTCAAGATGGGCAGACTGACTCTTCCAACACCAACCTATAGAAGAAGAGTGGTTTGTTTGCTTGATGGGTTCTTTGCTTGCGGAATGTGGCTCTCCTCCCTCAACCAACCCTTTGGGCCCGACCTATCCTTAGGCCCGGCCCGGCTCAGCCGGGTGTGGACCGGTCCTCCCGTTTTTGGAGCCCCGATGAAAGCACCCAAACGGGGCCGCTTTCTGGGCCGCCTTGACGATTCAAAGAAAAGGGAACGACCTGGTTTTGTAGGGAAAAATCCGTAGTGTAAGGGTTGTTTGTCATTCAGACCGTTAAATCAATGATGGGAACCCTGGGGCATAGCCACTTCTTTCGAGCCATGATCACACGCTTCTACCAGCACGTGACACCTGCTCGAGGTACACACCTCGAAACCGGAGCCGCAGTAGCAGCCCCTTGCTCGCTTGTTTCAAGCATGACGCGCGGTCGGGTGTGGAACCCCCTTCTTCTTTGTGAAGGAAGAGGCTGCCTTCCAACTGTAAGAGTCCAAATGACTCAGGAAAACCTCCGGTAGTAGTGGTGGAGTATGACTCTATGACTTCCAAGTGTGGTAAGGCCGCTATGTCATAAGTTCTGGGTCATGGGCATCCTGGGCCGTGGCCGACACACAGATTCGCCTTCCGTTGGAGACCATGACTCCGCTGTTTTGCAAAGGATACAACTGGGGAGTAGAGTGGTGTCGAACTTAGCCACTGTTTCCACTACTTAGTGGTAAGTACCAGGACTGTGCTGGGGAGTAGTGTCACCATTGTGTGTTTTTTATAGATGTTTAGCTCCTTTGAAGCATTCAGGCTGGCTGATTCTCAGGCGCCCATTGAAATCCGATGAGTCCCAATCGGCTCGGGGCCGAAGGGCACTTGTGCTGGGCCAGGAGTCAAATGGTGGTGTCTTCCAAGTCAAAGTACCGTGACTGTGAGGGTCGTAACCGTTACGACACAAGTTGCGTGCCCTGTCTCATGAGTAGATGGGGCCGGGGAGGCGGTGCGGGTCTCAGGAGCAAGTGCAGCAAGCTATTCCTCCTACGAGTACTCTGATGAGGATACCCCACGCAGCTTGGACAGTCCTGGCGAGTGCGGCCCAACTTTCGTGGCTTTGGGATGGTCGATTGCCCCGTGAGTTCATTCACCTGAATGAAAATAGTTGGGAATCCACCGCTTCAGGTGCGAACAGCTGGGCAGTTCCTTCCTTCGCTGCACGCGTCACCATTTTCCAGGTATATCTCCGGCTCATGGCAGTTCATGGGCATCCTCAATGGCAGTTCCGTCCTCTGCTTCGATCGATCCATATCGTCCGCTCAACCCATTCGGGGCGTCCGACCCAAGCTCAGGGGCGTCCGAGTCCTGTCAGAAGACGAGACGACCGGAGGACCTGAAGACCAAAGACCAAGATCTGAGGACCTGGTTTGTTGGTATGGTATACTAATTATGCCGGTGCCTCACTTGACATCACTCGACATCCTAGACTCAATGCAGACCAACATGTGTTTGTTTATCTCAAGACATATCAAAGACCATTGGGAAAGTGGAACAGTTGTTGGAGCAAGACCTGTCACTAAAGCAGTTCGCTTTGGATGTTTCCTCGGAGTTTGATGGAGTTTGTACTAAGTACAGAAGGATCTCCCGCTGTCGGCCTCAAACGAACCGATATCACATCCCTGTAGATATCCACAATATATTGTACTGCTCTGTTGCTTTCGAACTTAGACATTCTAGAGATCCTCTCCTCACCCCAAACACCATGTCCTTCCAATAGCCTTCATGTTGTTTTCTGCCTCACCATCTCACCCGTCTCGTCACCCGTTGGTGCTCGCCCAAAACAGGCAAGGACAAGGCCAAAGGGGGCGCTGCTTGGCAGGTGTCGCCAGTGTTCCGAAAACCCCAAAAAGGGCAGCAGGTTGAAACGGTTTCACCTGTATTTTACTTTTTGGTATGTTATGTTCTGGATTATTCAGGATTGTGTGGAGATGGCTATAGTTTTGAGATGTTTTTTGTGTGTGTGTTCTTGTTGTGGCCCCACATGAGGGTTTCAGAGCAGGTAGCTCTGAAGAAATGCTGATTGAACAGGGAAGGCTGACCTTAGCAAGACACGATAGAAAGGGAAGACACATACAGTACCGTGGATCATAGCGCTTGGTGTTGGTAGGTCCACCAGTTTGACAACAAAAGAGCATTGAAAACTTGTTGCTGCAGATTACAGAAGTGATTCACGTGCACTGTCATTGGGCACTTTCGGATATTTTGTTAACATCCTTAATTACTACCACATGTAACTTAGGACTTTGAGCGGTCCTGTCTTGGTGGTAGCAGTATGTTACTTAGTAGTGGTTCGTTCGATGGACCCGGGACGAGGCAACGTACGCGTCCACTGAGGCCAAAGCTGATGAGAAGCTCGGCCAAAAAGAACGCCGCGAAAACACGAAGGGAACAACTTGGAAGGTTCGTGTTCACCACCAAGCTTAAGGGATGTTCCCCAAT